ATCCCATCCTCGTCGTCATTGTGATGTACCGGTTAATTCGGGATAGTGCAAGGATACATTTATTTAACTGTTTAAGTTCCAATCGGTTGGTGTTACAAGAAGCATCTTTTCTGGTCTGCGACCACGCCCAGTCTGCTGCGGCTTCCAGGGGTCCCGTGCCTCTCCATGGCCAGCTGCTCAGTTTTCCCCTGCCAGTGTCTCGGGTGGCATCCGTCGTTGTTTGCGCTCAATAGTTCGTGTTCGCTATGCACGGCGGACACGCACGTAGAACACGGCAGTCACCTTATCGGTTATTATAGCCGATTCAATTGAGCGTCTGGTCACCAGCTGTCTATCCGTGTTCATCGTGTTATCGACATTAATGTCCCAGGAGGCACACCGGGTTCCAATCGATCGTGACCTCCCGTAATGACTAATGCCGTCAAATTATATTCTAAACCGGAGGGGCTTCTCTATATCTGGTATAATGAGGAGTCTACTATGACAAAATGATATCGGTCCGGTTGTATATATTTGGCTTATTGATGGTTGTCGGAGATTTCTGGGCCTGTCATTAGTATAAGCTCGCTACTGCTTAAATCTTTTGCTGTCATCACAATGTGGACCGTCACAGTAATGACGCTTGATCCGTCGAAGACAAGACCGGTGACAGATGATTTTATATTATTCTATAGTTGACCGGCATGCATATTTAAATTTGGGGCACCAACTTTGGTAAGTTCAAATGCAATGCTTAGGGACAATCAAGTGATATTAAAAATGCATTGGCTCGGCGTTCGCAGACTGAGTGTGCACGTGCTATCATCGACGAAACTAGCCAAGGGAGATAACTGTCATGCAATCTTGCACATTTACTTTGTGTGTCCGTGCTTGCATATTTATTTATTTATTTATCGGTTACTCTGCGCTAGGACCCCAGAGGACATTAAATAATGGAACGCGCAACTAGACAAATCATCAAAGACAAAATATTACCAAACATTAGTCACTGAACACTTACGCAAACATAGTTCTTAACAGCAGTTTTAAACAAATCTATTGGGGGTATTGATGCTGATGATGCGGGCAGATTGTTACAACCTGATGATTTTCTGGGTTTAAAATAATCGTTAGATGCTGAGGTCCAACAATTAGCAATTACAGCTTTTCCTCAATGATCGATCGATTTCAACTACCAGAACAGAAAATACCGTCTAGTGTTACAGATAGGTTTTTCTTACCAAACATACATCATATATATAAAAAAAACAAGTAAGCAGTTTTTACATTGCTCGTACATTTAACGATGTACCGGATGATTTTTAAGCGTGTTTCACAAAGATGCTAAAAATTAATTGAAAATACAGTGCCTACAAAATGATATTTGAAGGATTCTTTTTCTGTACAGTCGCTTTTTATGTCTTTATGCTTATAGAACCTGGTTTTTTGTATCGGCTTCCCTACACACCTCATATTGCGAGAATGCGTTCTACTGCCTATTATCATCCCGCTCGATATTCCTATTTTTCGGTTATGAGTGTTGCATTTATATAATGTTACACCGTTTTCGGCCTACAAAAACTATCTTAAGGAAGAGTTTTTTTTTCTTTTTTTTTGTAAACGTGTGCACAATTCAGTGAGCATTTCTTTGAGTACATTTCAGTTTGTACTCATTCTACCAACGAACATATGCAATTTTATGTTGTATTGTGGCGATAGTATATGCTAATTCAGATATCGCGGTAGCACAGTATTTTGCTATATTTTAGTCATATTCGCGATTTATTGTTTTAAGGTGGCTGTTTAAGCAGATACATTACGTATGTTAAGTGTCTTTATTTTTCTCGCCGCAAGTTAATTGTTGGAACGAAATTATAGCCCTTGCTGCTGCAAGGTCACGTCATAAAAGTTTTACAGTCCCTTACGGGCTCGATCATTTGTTTTAAAAATATACAAAAATAAATGTATGATTATTCTTCATATCATCATTATCATGCGTAATAATGGGAAGAAAGCGGGGGGGGGGGGGGGGGGGGGTCACTGACTAGTATGGTAAGTTCTGTATAAAAAATACACACGAGCGCATATACGGCGCTTGTTTAGAACAACTAAAGAACATCGCACTCTGACGATGTTGTAGGATTCTACTGCACCCTGGCTCACGTCGATACAATAAAAAATATTATTTCCAGTACCAGGTGGGCTACCGAGGGTGTTTTAATTCGTAATGCATCATTAACGTCACAAAGCTGCATGAGCTTAACGACTAATTTCCCGACAAATTAAATGGGATCAGCAGAATCTTCGGCGGGGAGGTGGTGTGTGCTACGAACACCACCTAGAAGACAAGGCCTGCCAATGACGTAATCGTTAGTGGATCCCGGACCCGCTAAAAGCGGCCAACAAATCAAAGCCCGACCAAAGTCGCCGCTGGACTCGTTCTGCGAGCCTTCGAGGTTTCGACGAAATTCGAGGAAGTTCGAATTTTTCAACAAAGATCCCCGACTATGTCAAACGAAGAAACTTCAAGTTCAACATTTCATAGAGCAGTTTTTTTTACACGGTATAAAAAGCCGACGCCAGATGTTTGTTATTACTATGTTAATTGATGTGAAACAATTCACCCAATAAATATTGCAACCTTTTCTGCCTGGTTTCGTTAGGGTAGGTTTTTGTTTAGATTTCTGTGGATGCGCGTACGAGTGGAACATTTGTTTTGTCGAAGTTTTGGGAAAAAGTTAGAAAAAGGTTCGAGATACACCTAAGCACTTGTTATGTGTTGTGAATGCGAAAGCATCAATGTTGTTCTTGCGCGCGTCCTCGTGAAGTAGCCGCGCCTCACTGACATCGGCCTTGCCGCCGCTCTGTCGGCGGCACGGAATCAGCTGCAGCAATCCGCCTTGGCTCACTCGGGCAGCCGTGCCGCCGCCCGAGCTCGACAGCAGACTCCTTTTGCCGGCACGCGGGCACGCAGCGCCATAGAGTGGCGCTGATTGAAACTGACGCGCGGCGGCCTCCTTCGGCTTCATTTACTTGCCGATTTGAGTTGCGTTTTGTGCGGCTTCAAAGCTGGGATGCCTCAAATCGCGGTTTCACGAATTTATCTGCCGTCCCCCTTACAAAAATATGAAACGAGTTTCAATTGAAAGTCATTCAATTGTATAGAAACTCAATTGAAACTCATTGACCCTTTTTGTAAGGGCCGGCGCGGCTGATGACGTAGGCTCGCTTCATGGGACAGTCTTTTAAGTGTCACTGAAAAAAAAAGTGAACGATTACAATTATAGTGAGTTTATAGAAACATGTAAAGGATTACAGTGATCAATTACTGCATCACAAAATTAGTTAAAAATACCAGAAAGTAATTGATTACTTTCCCCGTTACTTTTTTACGTGCTATTACAAAATCAAGAAAGCAAACATATATGTTCAAAGTGGTTGCCTGTAAACAAGACGTTAGGGAGTACCAAAGCATAGTAAAGATGTTCCATTCTATACATCCAGAGCGAGCACGTGACCTTCGCGGGCGCATTGGAGACAAAATGAACTATTGCTAATGGAATTCATAACTTCATTCAGTAATAGAGACAGATATAAAAAGTGAGTGATAGACAATGATAAATAAAGAGCCACAGCCTAAGCTAGTAAAAAAAACGTAGATAAGATAACCTTCAGTTCTTAGTAGGTTATATAGAAGCACGCGCTGGTGAACTTATTCGAGATGGAATTGGAGATGGGAGGGAAGTTTGGGGAAGGAAGGGGGGGGGGGGGGGGGTGTCTTTGTCCTGACTGAGGAAACGAGGCACTCTCGAGAGCTGGACAGTCGAAACGTCGCTGAGCGCGTTGACATTCTATTTCTGTTTTATCGGTATGATTCTTTAAGTTGTTCGAGGGTCAAAAAGATCCAACATTGATGCGACATAGATGAGTGACGCACGGGCAGACAGCGCAATTTTTTAGGTAAAAAACAACTCAATAATTTGAGCTCTGTTGGAAACATATTGTTGATTACTTGTAATTGATTACTTGTAATTGATAACAAAAAACAGTACTTGAATCGCAGCGAACTTTACCGCAGAAAAAATAGTAATTGAAGCGTAAAACATTTAAAATAACATGTAATTGATTACATGTATGTAATCAGTCACTCGTCACTCGTTACGTACACGTCGCGGGTAGGCCTAAAGCTAGCTGCCTTTACCTGTGCTGCAGTCGTCGAACGTGTTAAGGCTCTGCTATTTCCCGACGTAGAGCGCAAGCGTAGCGTAGCGTGTCGAAGCGTGGCGCCGCGTGGCGCAGCACGCGAGCTCTCGTCTCCTCATCTCTCTCAGGTTCTCAGCGCATACTCCTGACATTAGTCCCGACAACGCAGCCGACACTACCATCTGGTGGAGGCAATCGCACTGCACCAAGAGCGCATCATCATTACTCTCGTCGTCAATGTGCGTTTTGCTCTCACCGGCTCAACGATAGCCTCCTCTATACTCACAATGCCTGGCAGTTCGACGACGGAACTAGTGGATGCCCGGTATCAGATTTCTAGCGCGAGGTTCTAGTAGTACAGAGCAGCAAAGAGCCATTTGTTGGGGAACCTGGACGTCAGCGCACAGCTTTTGCAGCGGCGAGGACCCGAAACACACTTGTACGCTTGGGAGAAGTGTGTTTCAGCTTCTCGTCGAAGCGGGGCGGCAGTCACTTGGCTCTTCTGTCATCCGTTGTCTGCCCCTTCACCTTTTGCATTGCGGATGCCGCTTCTCGTGACGATCTGCCAGGCTTTGTCAGTATATAGGCGGCTATGGCTCAACCGGTCACGCACAGAAGTAAGCACAAGGTGACGGCGCGTCCAATGAGCACGATTAGATTCGTCGGCCACAGCAAACGCGCAAAAGCGACGAACGGCCTGGACGAGGGAGGCACTTTTGGCGCTGCTTGGTCGGCCCCATTCGCATCGTGGCGTCGGCCGCCGACGAACTAGGAGTGAAACGGAGTTTAGGCGTATACGTCGAGTTGAGGACGCTCACCGGTGGTGTGGTAGTGAGCGTAGTTGGCGCTTGTCTTGTTCCTCCTTGTTAGGAAGTCCTCCGTATGGCACCGGAAACGTGCTGGCTGGTTCAGACTGCGCACGTAGAGGTCCCCCAGTGACGTCATCAAGTACCGGTCTGGAAAAGGCGGAAACAAAAGATGGAGCGAGCATAAGAGCAACCTGGGGCCCCAAACTTGTCAAACACAAATTGGAGGCAAAAGCTTGCGGAGCCGCCGATTGGACGTCGGCGCAAAAAAAAAAAAAAAAAAAAAAAAACGTGAGGTCATCGTCGTGATAGACGAATCGGGGCGCTCCCTCAACTTCGGCCCCCACTTTGTGCTTGACGACTTTAGAGGCCAAGAATTGTGAGCAACAGTAGATCCGTTCATTTATAAATGTTTTTTCGGCGCTGACGTTTTCAGCAAACAATTGCAGACTTCTTCTTGAGCGAAGCATATAGAAACCGTATCTTCTGTGCGCGCTAAACATAGAAAACTACGAATGGGTGGCGCAGTCAAAAAGGGGGGGGGGGGGGTGTTCATGAGTTATAAAGCCCACCGCCCTTACTGAAATGGTGGCGACCATATAAACGTCTGCATCGCTTATCAGCCGGGCGAAAATTGCTGAGTCACTGTGCTCGGTACGCATGAGGAGCCTCCGATATCGCGCACATCAGATCAACAGCACAGGCTCAGGAGGTGTCGCACAGCCCAGCGGACAAAGATGGCCGAGCGCATAAGCACATGGGGGATTATCTCTGAATGCGATAGCATGTGTTGTGGCACACACGGGCAGGGGTTCGGTTTACCACAAAATATTGCGGGGAACCTGAGTTTCCGCATAGGTCACGTGAAGTAAATTTTCCGCTAATATTTATGGGGAAACTGAATTGTTCAATTTAGCACTACATTTAGCGGGGAACCTGAAATGATTTTTATTTCACGTGATGTCAGTTTTCCTCTAAATTTCACGGGCAACCTGAATTGCTATATACGAGGGGGGACCCAAAAGAAACCGAACTAAATTTTTTTGCACTTATTTATTCCCATTTCAAGTACAAACGTTCAATCTCTTTCAAAGTACTGTCCACTTGCACTAATACACTTGTCTAATCTTTTAATCCATGTGTCGAAACATTGTTTAAATTCATCTTTTATGATGCTTGACAGCGCCTCCGTCGTTTTTTTCTTCACCTCAGCAACGTCAGCAAAACGCTTTCCTTTCATTTCTCTTTTCATTCTAGGAAACAAAAAAAAAAAAAGTCGCACGGGGCAAGGTCGGGTGAGTATGGGGGGTGAGGAACAGGGGTCATACCATTTGTGGTCAAGAATTGTCGTAAAGACAAGGCAGTGTGAGCCGGGGCATTGTCATGATGGAAAAACCAGTCACACGACTTCCACAAATCGGGCCGCTTCCGCCGCACACTGTTGCGCAATCTTTTCAAAACCTCCAAGTAGAAAGCTTGGTTAACTGTCTGACCCTGCGAAACAAACTCTGAATGGACGACTCCTTTCACATCGGAAAAAACTAATCAGCATTGTTTTGATGTTTGATTTCACCTGACGAGCTTTCTTGGGGCGAGGCGAACCTGAGGTCTTCCACTGGCTTGATTGTTGCTTTGATTCAGGATCGTAACCATAGCACCAAGTTTCGTCACCTGAAATAACTTTTGAAAAAAATGTTTGGGTCACTTCGGGACTCTTCTTTCAAAGCACAGCATGCTTCCACGCGACCTTGCTTTTGTTCAGCAGTCAGCAGTCGTGGCACGAATTTGGCAGCCACCCTTTTCATTCCCAAATCTTCTGTCAGAATTCGCTGCAATGAACTCCAACTCACTCCCGACAGCTCCACAATTTCGTCAATGGTCCGTCGTCGATCTTCGTTGATGATTGCACGAATTTTTTGAACGTTTTCATGTGTTCGTGCCGTGGAAGGACGACCGGAACGAGGTTTGTCATCAATTGACATGTCGCCATTCTTGAAACGGGAAAACGACTCAAACACTTGAGTTTTCCCCATGGAATCGTTCTTGTACGCCGTTTTTAACAGTTCAATAGTTTCTGTTCCACTTTTTCCGAGCAAAAAACAGAATTTAACCGTTGCACGCTGTTCACAGAAATCGGACATTGCAAAAACGACGCCCACACGAAACACATGTCACTATAAACCCAGCCGCAACTAGTCCTAACCTTTTTCGAGGACGGAATTAGGCCTAATGACTCAGCAATGTTCGCTCTATCAACTCCTGGCGGCAAAACGCGGTACTGCAAAAGCTCTGCTTAAAAAAGAATAAGTTCGGTTTTTTTTGGGTCCCCCCTCGTACGTTGTGAGAAGTCAGTTTTCCGCTCAATATAACGGGAAACCTGTTTCCGCTAAATTTAGCGGGGAACCCGAATCGGTGTATAGGTCAGGTATAGTCAATTTTCTGCTGAATGGAGCGGAAAATCGCCTACATTAGAGGCTACATACGTGTACAGAAACCTATGATAAGGAGACTAATAATGTTATTGCATTAAAAATGACGATAAAACTACTCCTTCGAGAAGAAATCGGCAAAAAAGTGGCTGTGGTAATTTACTTCACAGCACAATAAGTTGACTATCTTGTTTGGCGAGCGTTTTTTTTTTTTTTTTTTGCAGTCAGTCGAGTTATAAGATAGCCAACACGTGGGCTTTAACAATCTAATCCAACAAAATTGGACGTTGTGAATGACTTTACAAACAAAATTCAAAATACCCTTGCGATATTGGGCAGGAGATCGAACTATGGGGGGCGCTCTGACCCGTTTCTTTCCCACACCTCGGTGTTTACTCAACACAAAGCCTGTGCACATGTCCTAAAGCCTTATGGGCATGTCCATATCATCTTCTGCAATAGAGCGCGGGGCAGAGTGTAATGTAAAAAATACTAACAATCGACGAAGAGACGTTAAGTGCCGGATCTACCCCGAAAGCAGTCGTTCGAGAATGCGAGCTTGACCCACTTCGGCTTTTGTGCTGAGCTGGGCGCAATGCATGGTGCATTGTTTATGCAGTCCGGAATGGAGACAAAAGAGCCCCTCCTCCCCCTCACCGGAGAACACGAACTCCAGCCGAACGCTGACTCCGCGTTCGGTTATGTCGGCCGTGTGCTGAGTCATTGTATTTGTTGTTTGCATTCGTGTAGTTCTAAAGTTAACCGCTTGGGGCGTCACGGTCGCTCCTCCTCCCCATTAGCGCCCTCAGTTTAACGTTCTAGGTGGCCAATATTGCACGTGGAATACCGCTACTAACCAAGGGTCATTAAGGTGTAACAAGATGTTCATAAAATGACAAATGTCGGTGCGATGTTAATTTCAAAAAGGAAGTGGGCAGGGGATTACACTTGGAATTTATCTGACGTCTCTGAATCGATAATCTTTTTTCACAATGAATATGAAACTCTATTGAGGTGCACAGAATATAAAGAAGTTATTCGGAGGCATATTCAACTACGTACATGCACTTAATAACAAACAAAAAAAATCGCGACTTTTTTATATTTGTGTGGGTTACGCATTTTAATCTTGCAAGATCTGGTTTGGAAGGTAGATCATGTTAGAACCACAAATAACGAATTAAGAAGCCTAGTGCTGATATCTTCATCCAGTGCATTGCATACAAAATGGTTGTCTCAGAGTTCGACTTGGGACTATAATGATTGCTACAATAAATATTGCTGTTTAATAATATACATTTAGTTACACCAAAATAATCTTTTTTTCCAGTTCAACCGCAAAACAAATCTTCGGATTACGTGAGAGCTGTCACGTTTCTCGCCATATTCGGCTTCGTTCGTACATGGATTCCTTACGTTTACGCTGATAACAAAAGAAAAAGAAGAAAGCTGGGATATTCCCTTATAAACGGCGAAGCGATGGACTCAGCCGAGTATCCAAAGAAAAAAACACATGAACCTTCGTGTTCCGTTAGAGGCTCATGTACTGCTCTATTTTATGTGCCCGTCCGACAGAATTTATCACAATAAAGGAGGCCGGGCCCATGTACCCTGGCCAACGAATATTTCGGGATCCGAATACGTGATCTCGGTCCTCGCGCAGTTTGGCACGCAATACCCGTGACGAAGTAAAACAAAAAACAAAAGGCAAAGACCTTAATAGAGCATCAACTTCCTCTCCATGCAACACGCCGCCGCTGCCACCCAAAATGCGTCTATGAATGGGCCATTGCGAACACGTGACAGGCTCAAATCAAGACGCGATCACGTAGACACACTATATTTCGTACCACCCCAACATGGACCCAAGCGGAGCCCGCGGAACTGCTAGAACAAATCATGTATCGCACAATGTTATACGTCAGATCGCTGTTTGGCCGGATGAACCAATGAAGTGCCGAATGTACGAGTCGCCCCAATTAAGTCCCTAGCCAGACGTACCTCAATCAAGCGTTAGCAATCAAAGTTGCCCATCCTCTCGTGAGCTATGCATACGCGCCTTCAGCCTTCTCACAGGTCCAACTCGAGCCGAGACGTGGTGTGTCTTCGCCCACGGCGGCTTTGCGCGTGATAGACGTGCCCGGTGGGCCGTGCGTTTTGTTGGAGTCGTTTCCCTTTTCAGCGCCGTCGCATTAGACTCTCAGTCACGTCGTCCGGATGCTTAATGGAGGCCCAAGATGTTGACAGCTCTTATCCCAAGATCGGCCGGATACGTTACCGGAGACCTATGGGCTCGATGCCATTAATCTAGCGCCTCCCCCCGGAAAACCGATCGCCACGCCACCCCGTTTTAGCTGTGGAGCGAGCTTGGTGTATGGGTGCTAAGGGAGTGCTTTCGCGGCGGGAGTGGTGTCGGCGCACTCTCTTATTCGGCGGGTTATAGCTGTCGCATCGTGTGCTGTTTGTTCGGGCGATAAAGCGGGACCGTGTGGCTAGCAGAGCGAGTGTAGTGTTACCGTCTGTGTTTGCGTTGGGGAAGAAGACGAAGCGCGGGCGGGTGGTTGGTGTGAGGTGTGGCTTCGTTTGGTTGTTGTTGTGGAAATGCCTCAGGTTTACGACCTTCTACCTCCTGAATGCAAACATGGACACTTTTGGGGAGTTGATGTTATGTGAGCTTACAGAAAATGAGGCACGCTGAAGATATTGCTAATAGACGGATGG